TTGCTGAGATCGCGAGGAATCCTTTATACAAACATCATAAATTATTTCTATGAAGAACAAAGATTTCTTTTTCTTGCTTCCGTTGATCATAAAATATGTATGAAACAGAACATCATAATAAAACAAATGAATTATGCTTCTGTGAAACTCTCGAAATTAAATAAAAATAACGGCAAGCAACAACTCAGACACTTCCATGCTTGTGCTAATATTCCTCTGCATGATTTTTTTACACCGATACTATCTTCTTTCTTTGTTGGCAATGTTCACAGCATAACATACAAACAGGCGGAAACATATTATGTATGTAGGTGAAGCCGTAAAAAATCCTTTCATGATCATGAAAATTAATTTTGCATCGTTATGTAGCGTGCTTTTCAGTTAAAAGTTGTTAAGTAGCAGCATGTTACATGTTTGCTTTATGCTATGCTGAGCTGAGATTTGTCATCACTTAGATGCATAAATTGAAATCCACACGACTTCAGCTAAGTTTATGGCTAGAAAATTTACAATTTATAATGCGATTAAGAAACTCACGTGTGTGAACATTAAGTTATCGAGATTGAATTTAATTTCTACGCTTTTATGATGAAAAATATTTCCATGCGAAAACTAATCTGAATCAGAACATTACTTTGTGGTAAAAAATTCCCATCCAATCTATAATTGATTACCTTTGATGACTTAACAATAATTAATCTACTTTTTGCTAAATGAATTAATGTTTAGGAATTTTAATGAAAAACGTGTTCGAATATCAATTTCCTTAGAAAATAAATAAAAAGCCTTTCAAAATCCAACACGATTATGAAGTTGATTAGATTCAGTTTAACGCCAAAGTTCATGGTTAAAGTATTGGAATGTTTCGTCTTGAATAAATGAGAGTCATAGTTATAGCTAATATTTGTCTAAGCGAATAAGAAATCTCGCAACAATACACAAAAAAGCAACATAAATCGCAGAAGACAAAAAAAGAAACAGCCGTGGCAAATCGATAGTCGATAGAAGTAATAATTGATTTCAAATATATTGAATTATTACGCAAAGCAAGCAACATGATCTCACCAACAATGAGGTTTCAAAAAAAGGCGAAAACCATTTTTTTTCTGTAACAAAAGAAGAAGAAAATGATTTGATTGTTTTTTATTTCTCTTTCTTAGCTTAGTCAGCTTTTAAATTAATTTTTTTTTCTTTTTTTTTTCGATATCTAATGAGAAATAAAAACATCGAGATCCGGTCCTTGTCTTGACGACGAAACATTCACTTTCAAGTCTCATTCACAACGCAACAATTTCATTCATGATTTAATCAAAACAAAAAGACTTCATTGTGTAATGTGATACTGCATGCTTCTCCGCCACCAGAGCTGCTTATTTTATTATAAATTTCACGGATGATATAATTTTGCGTGATATCACATTACTTTGTGTTGTGTCGTAAACAAACTGAGAAAATTATTTTTATGTTTAATGCTTCTCCGTCTCCAGTTTCTCATTCATTCTTGGGCACAAGTTGTAATAAGATTTGCAGAAGTTCTTTTTCAGTCGAATTTGAGAAACGAAATCATAATCACATAAAATATTGCTAAACATCAAACACGAATATTTCCATCATTATAATAATTACTTTGTTTAAGATCTCGTGCCATAACCGCCCATTAAATAAATTCCAGATTATTTCAATTCTTGTATTTGTAACTTAACAGTCTGAAAACTTCTATTTATCACACATTTAATGTATGAAAGGGAATCACAGAGGCAATCACAAAACGAACAAAAAGAACAGATGGAGTATTATGCTTGTGGCTTGTTTCAAAATATAATTACATGAATGTACTGAAATCATCGTAAACCAACCTTCACTTCCCTTAAAGTTTCATGTTTTCTGATATCCGCTTGAAACAAACCAATGACTCTTACCACTTAGGGTGAAAGTGACAAAATTAATTATTTCCAGTGTCCACTTTTAAAGGCACAAAAGTGCATCAAAAAAATGTAATTAAAGTATTTTGGTTTATGGTTCGGTTGACTTGAAGGGGTCGAGAAGTGAGGGAAGATCGTTAACATACATGATGGTGTTGTTTGTGATGTATCGCAGTTCTTTATTCTAACATCTATCATCACCATAAGTAACATTCGTAAAGAACTTTCAAACCATAAAATTAACTCAACCTTGACACTCTTACATGACAATTTACCATCGATCTAAATGATTGTTGAACAGAAGTTTTCATACTTTGCTATCATGCTGTTCACTCGATCGTTTTTAATAGACACTAACTTTGTTAATTTGTGAAAACTCTACATTTAAATAAAGTGAAAATTATATGTTGTTCACTTGAAAGCACTCATAGTATCGAGTTTAGTTGATTTTATGATCAGAAAAGTTAGTAAGGGAAGTGGGTAATTACCGTGTGTGCACATTTCATACACCTTCAGAATGAATTTATGTATTCAGCTAATTATAATGACTCATGTACTCATCATTAGAGCTTCGTAACTCAAGATAAATTATGTGAATCTGTTGTCACTCAAAATCTATTTTTAATTAATGAAAACTCATCGGAATCGCGAACACCTGAAACCATAACCATAGTGAAACGTTTGTCATTAATGTCCTTTAATAAAATTTATAAATTTTGATGCTTACATATATACAGAAGTCCCTTGTTGACGAGGAGAAAAAAATGAAAATTTTATGATTATTTAACATGCAAACGTTTAAGCATGAAAACATTTCATGTTAGTTATGACAGTGACTGGTTTTTTAATTTGATTTATGATCTTTTCTTTTTATTTAATCGTGTTAGATGAATTTGGTTTTAAATTTTCTAATAGGTGAGAATATGAAATTATCTCAAAAGTAATACACAAAAAATTCCTTTAACATTGAAGAGAAAAAAGTTTTCCAAACAAAAGAATTTAAGATTGAAGCGATTGTCAGTTTTTAATGTTGAGAGTTCCTTTGAATTGTTTAAATCGAAGCCGAAAAATAGTCGTTCGTGTTTTATCATGAAAATGATTTAAAAATGAAAATTTAATGTGAAATATATGTCGTACAAGTTGAGACACTTCTGCAATGAAATGAGAGACTTGCATGACAATGTATCACTCTCAAGCATGAACTTCCAGACGGCGTCGTGAATAAACAGTTATAATTTTTTCATCTTATGTGCTGCTAAATTCAATGTTTGTTTTACTAACAATTCAACATCAAGAGTTTACTTTGCTGCAGGGTAAAAAAGGAATAATACGTCTCATTAACTTGATTGCTTCGGCTTTTTTATTCTCATTTTTTGCATCTCACGATTAACTTTCAAAGACAAAGTTACCTAGCAAATACAAAACCATCAAAAAGCTCTTTTAAAAGGAAAACTTTTCAATGCTTTACATAAAAAACTCTTCACATGAATCAAACATATTCCATGTTTTGTTTTGAAGAATTGTAAGCTTCTTGGTTTACAACGACAATACTCGATAAATCATCGCAACGTGAACAAGTCAAGTTATCAAAAATTTATATATGTAAAGAAGAAGAATTTACAACTGCGGCATAGCAGATTATTTTTTTGAAGGGAAGCCATAATATGATTGTCGAAATGTTCAGTCACCTTCTGTGACAGTCATAAACATTCAAGATAAACCAGCAACTTGTAAATTTGAAAACTAGAGAATAATAAGCTCATAAAGTTTAACCATCATTCTAATTAGTATTCAAAAGCTTTTATAAAGTTTTCGTTTGGATATACATTTGAAATTTGAAATCAGAAGCTTCAGAAATGTTAATTAAATAATCTTGAATCCGAGTTATTCTGAGACTTAAACTTTGATTTATTGTGCGATTTCAAGACTCTGCATATATTGATGTTTTCACATCTGGTAACATCTGATATTTCTGTTGAGAAACAGATCAATGGCCAATAAAAATTCGTTTTAACGATGCATGCATAATTAATTGACTTAACAAGATTTTACATTTTATTACTGAAAATGAGCTCATAGTTCTCTGAGAAGACACCTTAACGTGTCGGCTGAAATCGATAACGGCGGAAAAGTTATCGAAGCTGAACACTGACCACACAAAGTTTTTAGCTGTACAATGAAGAATAAAAATAAAATTTCAATAAAAAGGTGGAACAAATTTGTTCTTGTATAACATTTAACATAATTTATGACGTGATTCAAAATTCATTAGACCTTAACAACAATTGCGTATGAAGCGAATAAGCGAGCAAACAAGCAAACAATGTGCAGCAGTAAAGAAACGTGAAAAGGCAATAAATAAAACGTTTATGTTCAGTAGGCTCATTTGTCCTCCCACACTGGCAAATAAATAGAAAGTCATTACTCAATTCACTCACACTTTAAATTGAGTCATAAAATGTGATACGTTCTTCAAAGGTCATTGCTAAAATTAAAAATAATAGTAAAGAAGCAGAAGAAGATGTAAGAAAGCCATCAAACGAAATGAAAAATTGAAATTTGATTACAAAGCGAAGCTCTCGATCAAAACACAACACGATATTATGTTTCACATCTATTGAAAAGCTTTTTGTTAAATCGCACTTCTTTGAGAAAAAAATATCAAATTTTATCTAATGCCACAACACAACATGAAGTAAGCAATTCCAAATGCTATACATCATCGCTGAAATGTATCTATTCGATGTCGATCTATTGTGCCAGGTGCTATCACTTCTCGATTGCGTGTGAATCATTAAACGGGTTTCTCTCATCTAATTTTTTATATCTTCCACTTTCGTCTAAAACGATTTCGGGTTTCAGTTAAGTAGTAATTTTAAGTTCCTCGTGAATTGTTTTTTCATAAATCAAATATCAGATTTCGGCAACATGAGATGCAAATTGCTAAGCAAGATTAAATCTGTTGTAAGTGAGAATGACAAGAATGTTGAAGTGTCTGCTAATCGTGATACAAAAATGATGGAAAAAAATATTCAAATCTACTTAATTTCTTGTGGACACATTTATGGCTGGTGAAAAATGATCATATCGGAATTTGGTGGTCGCCCCTCTGTGATGCTTGACCGTAGTAAATATTTAGATGAGTAAACATGCGAGACTCATTCTCAAGTTAAGCGGATCGATGGACTCTCTCGTTGACATTCGATATCTTCTTCAAATGTTTTAACAACAAGAAATAATAAATTTCCCTTTCCAATCACCCAAGTCATTATAAATATTTAGATTTTATTTTATGTCTCTATCATCGATGCTTCTTTTTATCAGAAGAATTTAAATTATTTTCAATCACTTTCTGTTCTTGTTAAGACGTTTGAAAATCTCTTTGAAAACATTTTTATTGACATCAGCCACGAGAAAGATGTCAACGCATATAACGAACATAACTTTGTGTCTTCTTAATTTTTAATGACGAAAAGGAAAATTTCTCGAAAAAGTTGTAATACGAAGGAAGATTTCATATTAAACTTTCATGGAGCATAGAATTTAGGGGATGTTCCATGGTTCGTTGAACTCAAGCTACGAGAAGGAATGACGAAACAACATTTCTAACGACACTGAGGGATTTTTATCTTCTCATTTCACCAAGCCAAATTACTCCTTATTATGTATTTTTACGAAGAAAAAGAAGAAAGTAATTATAATCGGTATATTTAAAGGATGATTAAGATCCCATACAATATTTTCATTAATTCCTTATGGCGAGTGAAATTAAAGTCTTAAAGATTATCTTCAACAATTTTTTTTTCAACTCTAAATGTACTGTAACTAATTTACTTCTTTTTTTTCTTCTAGGTAAGAGATGAAGCGGATTTCACTGTTAAACAAATGAGAAAAGCATTGTGGTGTAAGAAAGAAATTATGATATTTATCATCAAAGCAACAATTAAATGGTCGATTAACATAAACACTTCTCAAATTCTGTTTGCTACGCAGACGCTATGTCATGAGTAGTTGCAGATATCTTCGCAAGACGTATGAGCTTTCTGTTCAATTAAATTCAATATTTAAATGAATATTTTAGCGAATAAGTTACTGCAAATCATAAATACTGCGCATAAACCTCAAAATGATATCTCGTAGGATGGAAGAATTTTTTTTTCTATTGCTTCGAAGATATTTAATTCTTCAATTCTCTCCGACGTCTTCTAGACCAATGCATTGATAGACTTTTTTCCATTAATATTTATTAATACAACTGCAAACTAACGATGCGTATTGTTTGCAATATTAATTTCCTTATTTTCCTTCGATAGGGGAAAAATTGAACATTTTATCATGACTCATCTCTTGATTTTGCATTCAACTTCAAGATATTGCAAAATTTAAGACTTCATTAAACGTAATAATTTTCGTAAATATCAGCATTCATCAAAAGGTGAAACTTTGCTTCGTGAAGAACTCTTGAGAGTTTTGCTTTTAACTGTTGGCTCATATTTTGTATCGAAAAGTAATCCCTCTTGAGACTTGCCACAAGAGTTTTGCAATATATTTTAATTTACGAAGTTATAAGGGGAGAAAAAGAAAGAAAGAAAGAAAAAAGTGAAAGTGTTTGAAATCCGAATGGAAGTAGATAAGTTGTTGTCATGACAACAAACACCGGGGATTTTCCCCCAAAGTTTTTTTTCCACTTGTATCTGAAAAATGTCTCACATAAAAGGAGAGATAACTAAGATAAAGTTTCATTTTTTCCTCCTCCTTCTATGTCAATATCGATTCAATTGTACGTGATCAATTTTCTATGAAAATCTCGGGGTCAATAGTGGCCAAAATAAGATTTCATCCTAGAAAAATTGATACAACTCGACGTGGTAGATTTCCTGCACGTCTAATTTTCCTTTCGCGTTAAACTTCGCTTCTTCTTTTCCTATGGGTTAAATTGAGCGGAAGTTAGAAAAAAACTACCTAATCATTCCCATCTTCACAATCCAAAACACCATTTCAATTGATTAAGTTAATTTAAAATTGATGAACAAGTGTTTATGTTTCCCCATATTCAATCAATACCAATTACAAATCAGCTTAACCATGATTGAAGTGTTATAGAATTGAATGTACTAAGGTTGAAGTTCATTCAACAATTGAATTTTATTATGAGATTTTCTACCCAAAGATTGAAATGCATGAAAGCAATTAATTATAAACATTTTCTTCTCTCGTTTTGTATTTTATCTTAAGGTCGATTTCAAGAAGGTTTCGAAAAGGTTTTTGTTATCTTAAAATGCAAATTCCAATTTATTGAATCATTTTAAGGTTCTCAATGTTGCCATAGACCTACCAAATAAATGAAAGAATCGTTAGTTAAAGCGATAAGAAATCTTCAACCTCATTACAATTCTCAGACATCAAATTTGCATGATTTCAAAAAAGATTTTTCTTTTTATTATTTCATAAAAACATCGACTGTTGTTCATTCATTTCGGATACCCAAAGATTCTTTCATGTAAACATTTAATGTTCTTATAATGTGTTGTTTCAATCGCGATAAGACGTAGACTTACTTTTTGCCTTTTTGGTATGGAAAATCAGTTTCTTTTGTTATTGTTATTACTTTTGTAATATGAACAAATTCCAACATTCATTTAATATCAAAAACTTCGAGCTTTTCAACTTTTTTGCTTTATCAAACAAGAAAAATCTTTTTCGCTTTCATTTGTCAACTTTTATTCGTAATGACAATTGGCGCTTAAGAAACTCGAGATGAGCGTGAGACAAAGTTAAGTTTTTTTTTCCATCTTTTACTCTGTTTATGATGTCAGCTCGGAAGATTGACAAGAGAAGCTAATTGTGGTCATTTGATTATAACGCGATATGCAAATCAACATCAACAAGATTTTTTTTCGCGATCTGATCACTTAAATCACTTAAAAATGCTTGGAATTTCTCATAAAGCGAATTTCTAAGATATCAAATTTCAAGAAAACATTCAAAAGTTGAATGAAAATGTGGATACATAAAATCACAAGAGATTCTTCAGTATTGTGGCTTTGTAACATAAGTTTATGAAATTAATTTTGATGACGGTTGTCTTTAACATCAAGGTCAGCACTTTAAGGGAATTTGGAGCGACGACTATTCAATGGTTACATTTAATAAGAAAGCTTGAAAGAAAGATGAGTGAGTAAGTAAAAAGAGGATGACTGATGATCTTTATCAATCTTATGACAATTCTTTCTTTTCTCAGCTTCTCTCACGCTTGCCATTAACAACTTTCATTTCTTTCTTCAATCATTTTGTTGAGAGCATTACGATGACACTTGGCAATCGTTATATGTATTGAGGGCGTGTTTACATAATAAATGAAAATAAGTTGGATAGAAATGATATAAAAATAAACATTGAGTTTAGTTAGGGAAAGAAGGAAAAAAAGATTCTATAACTGTAAGCATTAACCATAATCATGCTCATAACAACCAACGACTTGAAAGATAGGAAAAAGTTATAAAAACTTAGATTAATTTTAATAGACTCAAATGAAAACGCTCCCTGTACTCGAATCTAAAATATTCATTCTTCATCGCTAGAATATGTCCAGGAGTGGAATCTAAATTAATTACTCCATCACACTTCGACAACAGTGTACATGGAAGGGCATTAATCTTGAGTTTGTCTTCTTTCTAAGTAACTGTACGATATCATTCTAAAACTGTGTAAAGAAGCAAGAAGATGGATGGGCTTTGAATTAAAAAACAAAATTTTACACAACATTTTTCATATTCTTGAAGCTGTGAATCATTTCAAAGAAACTTTTTTTTTCCTTTTTCTCTAAATAACTTTTAAATGTTTACGTTTACATTCAACAGTCGTCTTAAGATTCTTACAGATGCTGCATTCATCGTCTGCTTCTGTTTCTGATTACATTTCAAACCAAAACACAATTTCGTAATTTAAATAACATTTAGTCCCAGAGTATTTAAATATTTTCATGATTCCAGCCGGTTGTAAAGGAAATGCAAACAACCCTTTGAAAACATTTCCAAAATCTCTCCTTTAATGTTTACATTTGACAGACGGCATTTACATAACTGCATTAAGAGTAGGTTTAACTTGGGTCCAATTTGTTGCACAATTTATTTAGGATATTTTGTGCTTAAGTAAATTATTTCAATGATCATCAATTGAAACAATTTTTTTACATTTTTTGGTGTGAATTGAAAAGAATTTAACTTGAATGCAGAAATTCCTTTGAAAGGAAAGATGCAAAATTCATAATTTGTTCTCGCTCCGACAAAGCATATAAAAATCAATCATTTAAATGAGATTCATTCTCTCGAGGCAGACTCGTGAATTATGACGATTTACTTCTTTCTGAAGAGTGAATATTACTTAATGCAGTTGTCTGACAATCATAAACATCAAGTGGTGCTCTGTAGAAGACGATGCATAAATATTAAATAAGTAAATTGCTTTCTTAATCTTTCATTTCCATATCTTACGATTTCCAAATCGCTTTGCAACTATTTAATGTCTTTAATTTGATCGTAAGAATCGTGATACCAAATCTTTTCCAGATCAAATCATCTGCTTGAAAAAATGTTTTAAAATTCGAATAAGAGCGTGAATCAATTAGCAGTCACGCTTTAAATTTACAACATCCTATCAGTTCTGATATCCAAACAGAGTGAACGTCTTTCAAACGATGAAATTCCATGTCTTTTCCAATTAAAATAACCATGAATATTAAACTCCAGCTGGGATAATGTTATAACATTCTTATTGTGTTCGTAATAAAATATAATTTTGAAGTAAGTTGCGAGATACCGTCACAGTAAAATGAGACTTGTACGCGTTCATATTTTCACTTGAAAACGTTTCCTATTGTTGAACATATATTTATATATGTAAAGACAGATATTTAGCACTGCGAAGCTATTACGAATGTGGGTCCATGCAATTTAAAGAATGCTGAGCTATTAGTGGCTTTAACGAGAGATGACTTGCTAAAAAAATCTTGTCTTCGTTATTGAAATCATAATTCAACCTTTTTGATCTTGCCTGACATACTCTTTAAGTTCTTCCCCATTCATAAAACTAATTTAATTAAATCAATTAGTTTTTCTTGGTGTAGTCAAAGTCTCGAGTGATGTTTTCTGTTGTTTAATCAAATTAAACTCATTGAGTCAAATTATTATTCTGTGTCGTTGGCATAATTATTTGTTTACATAAAAGCTTTTTAATCTCAAGCCTTTTAGGCAGCATACTCATCTGTTTCTTGAACTTCAATCTTCATGACAGAATTTGTAATTTGAGAACTGTTTAAAGCACTCGAAAGCTCTAAGGATAAGAAAGACGTCTTAAATGAGTTGTTTAACTTATTTTAACTATCTACTTGACATCCTTTAGAGAAAACTTGTCAACAAAGGTTTACGGGATATAAAAAGCTCAAGGCTGGAATGCTTTTGCATATTCAATTATAGGGAATTTTTGTTTGTTTCTTTGATAATTGAAGCGAAAGTTGAATATTCAATTTCTTTTTCGATATATTTCATCTTCAGTGAGTTCACTGTAGTGACGTTTAGAGAAATCAACCAGAAACTTTTTAATTCAATTCCGACTTTAATACATATTCTTGCTCTCATAACATCAAAACAAATAAGTTATAAAAATAGTTCAGATTGATCTATAAAATGCATTCAACATCAAAAAATCTCATTAAAATTTCAAGCAATTGATGAAACTTTCTGACAAAATTAAGTCTTGCCACTTTTATATTCGCAATTAAAACTTTTTACAATGTTAGTTAAAACTTTTAAGTGGCTTAAACATTTTTATTTTTGATGATTTAATTCATCGCTTAGATATTAAAAGTTGATAGAATATCATAGTTTAAAGAAATTTCAAAAGAAAATTACGCAATGCTTTTGATCATTTCTACTTTGATTCAACAAGAAATAAAATTTAAATTTATTTTCTACTCACTTTATGCAAAATCAACATAATCAGGGGAAATTGAATGTAAGTCATGACATTTCATTATTTTGTTGTATGTTTTTTAATCATTTTAATTTGTATTATTATGATAGACACTGACAATCAACGTGTGATAATTCACGTAAGAGACGTCACAAATGAACCCCCAAAGGAGTCTTCAAATGAACACAAACATTCACGTCAAAAGCGACGCGTTACACGCGCTGTTCGACCTACAAAACGTATAGAATTCGCTGAATCTGACGGAGATTCTGAGGGACGAAATGTTTTTCAACTTGAAAAAGAAACTGAACGAGAAACATTTAAAATTCGTGATGATAATCCTTGGGTGACAGTTGAAACAAACGGAGCTGTTCGTGTCAAGAAGAAGTGGGACTATGAAGAACTTGGACCTGAAAAGACAATTGACTTTTGGGTTATCATTTCTAATCAGGGACACAATGGTGAGTCTTATTTTCTTTCCTTCAGTATCGCACTTAACCGTCATCAAACACAATAACAATTCTTTCATTCTTTCTCTTTTAAAATCATTCACAACATAAAATAATTCATCTTTATCAACATCATCAACCATGATAACAGGTGGAATGAAATGTAAGTCAAGCTTTATTTCGCTCATACTTTATGTTGATGACGTCTTTATTTATTCATCATCCAGATACTGACAATCAACGAGTGATTATTCATGTAAAAGACGTGAATGATGAGCCGCCATATTTCATTAATCGACCATTACCAATGCAAGCTGTTGTACAATTAAATGCACCGCCAAATACTCCCGTCTTCACTTTACAAGCTCGTGATCCCGACACTGATCATAACATTCATTATTTCATCGTTCGTGACCGGACTGGTGGAAGATTCGAAGTCGACGAAAGATCTGGTGTTGTGAGAACGAGAGGAACAGATTTGTTTCAACTTGATGTAGAATACGTTCTGTACGTGAAAGCGGAAGATCAAAATGGAAAAGTCGATGACAGGAAGTTCCAAAGTACTCCAGAAGAAAGACTTTCAATCGTTGGTGGAAAACGTGCACCACAATTCTACATGCCAAGTTATGAAGCTGAAATTCCCGAAAACCAAAAGAAGGATTCTGAGTAAGTTCAATAAAAAAAAGTTTATTAGGAAAGTTTCAAAAGAATTTCACTTGCCTTTTTCTTAGCATAATTTCGGTGAAAGCAAAATCATTTGCTGATCGTGAAATTCGCTACACTTTGAAAGCACAAGGACAAGGTGCAGGAACTTTCAACATTGGACCATCATCTGGCATTGTGAAACTGGCAAAAGAATTGGATTTTGAAGATTTACGACAACCTCATGTTTATTCTCTTGTTGTTACAGCAACTGAGGATTCGGGTGGCTTCTCAACATCAGTTGATGTGAGTTGAATTAATTGTTTAATTTTTCAAATTATTCGAAAATTGTTTTTATCATATTTTAGCTTACAATTCGAGTAACTGACGTTAATGATAATGCTCCAAAGTTTGAACTTCCCGATTATCAAGCTCATAACGTCGACGAAGATATTCCACTTGGAACAAGTATTCTTAAAGTAAAAGCAATGGATTCCGATTCCGGCGCAAATGCTGAAATTGAATATCTCGTGTCAGATGATCACTTTGCTGTCGATTCAAGTGGCGTGATTGTCAACAATAAGCAACTTGATGCTGATAACAATAACGCTTACTACGAATTTTCAGTGACAGCAAAAGATAAAGGAGAACCAGCAAAGACTGGAACGGCAACTGTTCGAATCTACACGAAGAATAAAAACGATGAAGAACCGAAATTCTCACAACAAGTCTATACACCAAATGTTGATGAAAACGCTGGTCCAAATACTCTAGTTACAACTGTTGTTGCATCAGATAAAGATGGCGACAACGTGAGGTTTGGTTTTGTGGGTGGTGGTACGAGTAGTGGACAGTTTGTGATTGAAGAGATTACTGGAGTTATTCGACTTCACTCGAAAGGCATTACATTAGATCGTGACAAGTATGAACTGAATGTGACAGCTTTAGATGACGGTTCGTGTTGTGTCAATGGTGACTCAACTATTCATACGTCGACGGCAGTTGTTGTCGTATTCATAACTGATGTCAACGACAATAAGCCGGTGTTTAAAGATTGTGGAACGTATTATCCGAAAGTTGAAGAAGGTGCGCCCAATGGAAGTCCCGTCATAAAAGTTCAAGCAACTGATGAAGATAAAGGTGTCAACGGTCAAGTAAAATACTCGATTGTTCAACAGCCAAATCAAAAAGGAACGAAATTCACTGTTGATGAAGAAACAGGAGAAGTTTCAACGAATAAAGTCTTCGACCGTGAAGGTGATGATGGGAAGTTTGTATCAGTGACTGTGAAGGCCACGGATCAAGGTGAACCAAGCCTTGAGGGTGTTTGCTCGTTCACAGTTGAAATCACTGATGTTAACGACAACCCACCACTTTTTGATCGACAGGTAAGAGATCCCATATCAATTCCGTAACGAATTAATGAATGTTTCCTTGTCATATCTCACAGAAATATGTCGAGAATGTTAAACAAGATGCGAGCATTGGAACGAACATTTTAAGAGTATCCGCTTCGGATGAAGATGCTGATAACAATGGAGCGATCGTTTACACACTCAGTGCACCTTATAATCCAAATGACTTGGAATATTTTGAAATTCAACCTGAGTCTGGATGGATTGTGTTGAAGAAACCACTCGACGTAAGTTCATTCATTTATCCAAAAATCTCTTTTCCCTCGATTTCTTATATTCTAAAATTGATTTTCCAAAAGATATAAAAAAAATTGAAAATAATTTCTTCCAAATCTAATTCATTCTTAAGACAAAATTGAGATGAAAACTTATGTAGGTGGCAACGACTTCCAAGTTTTAAGTGCTTAGAAAGCTTTAAGCTTCTAGCTGCAATAAAATCAATTGACAAAAATTCAAACTGCCTAATTGCCGATTGTTTTACATAAAAAGACAGAAAAAAAACATTAAAAAGTTTTAATTACCTAATTGATTTATGTTCTTACCATGGGATGAGACCTCAATTGGATGATGAGAAATTCAAATCAAATTAAATGCAAAAATGATTAAAATGTGATTTTGGGAAGTGTTAGGTAGAGTTTCGAATGTTAAATGATTTGTTTTGCGCTTTTAAATAAAGATATAAAATGAAAAGCTCGATAAAACTTCCCATCATGACATTTTATCGACTGTTGTGAACATTAATCTTACTTTTATCAAATATTACAACCCTTAGAATTAGCTTTTTAATGTTTCTAACTTTCAGCACCATTTTTAATTTTTGATTTGCCAATTGTGATTGATGATGAAAAATTTATGAAACAATATAACTGACTGAATCTTTTATTATTTCAGTAAAGCGCACAATTTACTAAATGATAATGATATATGAAAAATGATTCTTTAGTTACTTATTCAGTGTAAATATATGATGTGATGAAATATCTTCGGCACCACCTTGCAACTTAAAAATTTTCTTTTTTTTCTTTTCTTTCTTCTTCATAAGGAAAATCGAAACTTTTCTTTTTTGTTTCACCCAAAAAATGTTTTTTACTTCTTCTTAATTCATCAAAATATCTTTTTTATGTATCATAATAATATCTGTGATTGTTATGATACATGTTGATGATTTTTTTTTGGCGTTGACATTTTTGCATTTTATGATTGAAACGCCGGAAAACATTTTTTAGCAAGTTTTTCGAATTGTTTTTAGTAGTGCAAGATCGCAAAATTTTATTGATGCGATAGAATTGAAGTTGTGAAAAGCTTTCAATGTTTTCCATACAATCCTTTTTAGCAATCGCCCGTTTTGTTTGATTGTTTTTTGTTGTCCTTCAAGTGACAAATGGATTAAACGGGTCATTGTTATTCACTTTTATGAATTTTTTTTGCGTTATGTTTTGACGTTTAAACTTTTTTCCTGACAATTGACAATTTTTTTATTCATTCATCGATATAAATTAATTTCAAAATGACATTTTACATTTATATGCGATGGGCCACGTCGAGATAATTGTTTTTTATACGCAACGCATAGCAGAAGCGATCAAGTGATTTTTGAGCATCGTTTCAAACAGATTTTGATGGTGAACGAACTTTAAATGGCGGTAGAAATTTACAATTTTGTCACCAAATATTTTTTTGTGATATTTTTGTTCAAAGTTTCTTCCTTTTATTTCAAAAAAATTATTAAATAATGGAATGTTTTAAATGATGATTTTTGTATGTTAAATTTTGATTTGGTTTAATTTTATATTTATCATTGTCACACACGTTTCTGTTTCACAATATAAACGTTTAAAAGAGCACAAGTTTTCCTCACCCAACCTCTTAAGTTTTAATGAAATTTAATGCATGAAGAGTGTTTGAGCATGAAAAAGTTTTAATTTAAGTCATCAAAAACTTTATTTTCCTTCGTCTCACTTATTGTTTATTGCACTTAAATCAATAAAATTTCTTTCTTTTTTTCTCTTTTCTTTTTCTGGATGAAATTTTTTGGCATATAAAAAATTAAAACCATTGAAACGTCGACGTGAATATCTTTGGGGAATGTTGAATTATGTCTGTATAATCTAAAATAATTGAAATTATATAAAGGGATGCTATCCTGTAAGTTTTAACATGAGAAAAGTTTACCATAAACTTCCCCAGTTGTTGAGAAAACTTCCCCCATAATTCATTAGATTAAAAAGAATTAAAATATTTGTCTTAAGAATTACGTAGACTATCTGCTGCACTTGTTTCTTTTGTGTTGCACAAAATATTATCTTAGATATCGAAGATATGTTAAAGTTGCTGGATTAGAACGCTTTACATCAACTTTAATGATCTTAATATGATAACCATCTCAAAAAACGGATTAAAAACATTCATCCGACGATAAAGTTGTTGAATTATATTTTCCATAACACGTTTTTGATACATTTTTGCGTGTGTTTAAATTTCTCAACATAAACATAGATTAAAATCTTTCATACTATGTAATGCTAGATATTAAATTTCCTTATCGAAAGAATCATAAACTTTTCATGTTCAGCAAGATTGAAATTTAAGCATTAAAAGAAAATGATCGACCAATTTATTATATTGCTTTCTTAAGTTTCATATATTTTGCTTAGATGCTGCTGTTTACATTGAAAAAAGTTTCTTTCTCTTTAGATATTTATGATCCATTTTAGTTTGAAGAAACCTAAATTTCCGATTTCCTATTCAAATTTGAAAACAAAAACCAACAAATTTATTGTAATTTATTTCCTTATGAGTATTAGTATTCAAAAAGTTTGCCTTTCTACAATCTTAAATGTTATTTTAATATTTTTTTTTGTCCCTTATTATTATTTCTTGGATGCTCTTAAAAGCCATTCTAAGATACATGTTTGTTTCATACAAATTTACTGACGCTACAAATTATCCTTTTGAGTTTCGTTTTATAAATCACTTCAACAGACTTCATTAGAGTTTGTCATTATTTTCATTTAATATTGTTTTGTTATTTTCATTTGTTTCTTTCATTTTTTTTATGTTTACTGCCATATAATGTTGTACCACTAAACAGCGAGAAAGATACCGTCTTCGAGTTCGTGCTGCTGATAAAGGTATTCCACCGAGCTATGCCGATGTCGACGTTGATTTGGATGTTGTGGATCGCAATAATAAGCCGCCAATATGGGACAGTATTGTCTATGGCCCTAAGCATATAAAAGAAAATGTCCCAATAAATACAGTCGTAGCGACGGTAAAAGCAAGGTTTGTAAAATATCTCTTGATAAGTTATCGCTATTCGATTGTGAGCGCTACTCAAAAGCATAACTTGCTTGTAAGTTGCAATAACAAGCTACAAGTATTTGAAAGCAAACATTGCAAGCAAAACTTTTATGCAATGCTTCCATACAAGAACTTGAAAGAAAGTTTTGCTTGCATGCAAGTGTGTTTGATTCTTAAGTATTTTCTTCTTATTCTAAGTATACTGCACAAAACTTTTTGGATAGAATTTTTTTGGTGTCTTTGTTAACAGAAGATATTTTTTGCTAACCCTCATCCCGATATATTTTTCTCGGGATATATAGAAAATATATATTTCTTTGGTACGACATACAAGGTGCTCTGCTATGTATCATCACAACATCATATGTGGCTTATTTTTTGGGGCCAGTATTTTGTAGAAAACTATTACAATTTAATTGAATTTGACCTTTAACAGAATATAAGAAATTAACATTGTTAGATTCACCTTACACTAATTTTGTGATAATTGATTTTTGTATTTTGATATTGTATTTTTGGTAAATCGCCTACGCCAACTAACTCCACATGTTATTAACGCTCTGATTTGTAATAACTGACAAATCAACAAACATAAAAACGAAAATAAAAATCGAAAATAAACATCATCGCTCCGTTGCATTCACAATGAAAATAGCGTGAAACATATAAGCTCGAGGCAATGGCTCAAGATAAAGGATATCCGCCATTATCACGTACCGTGGAAGTGCAAATAGATGTTGTAGATCGAGCTAATAATCCACCGGTGTGGGATCATACAATCTATGGTCCGATTTATGTAAAGGAAAATATGCCCGTTGGTGGAAAAGTTGTGTCGGTTAAAGCCAGGTCTGTTAAAAGAATTAAAAAAAAGATTAAAAAAAATTAAGTTTCGTTGCAAGCAAAACGAAACAATTTATTTATATGAAAAAAAAAGAAATATCGAGAACAAGTTTGTCTTTCATTTCTTTTAAGTTTTGTTTGTTCATGTATTTTTTAACTGAAGTTTTCATTGAAAAACTAGTTTTGAATACTGTAGAATTAAAAAGTTTATTTTTATAATATGATTTCTCAAATTTAATGAAGCAATGTTTGAGAATTTATTTATTTTCCTTCACATTTTAAGTTTCTTATTCTTCTTCTCTTTCAACTTTTACGAAATAAAAGCAAGAAAAAAAGGAAAACACATTTTCATTGCAAACTTTTCAAGTGCTTTAAATATGAATCTTCTTCATGAGAGAGAATTCTACGCCGCCCCTTCCATCCATTTTCACATCGATTTATGTTTATTCAAAATAGCTTCAGCAGCATCTCGCAATATGTGGTGTTCAAAAAAGAAAAAGAAAAAAGGGAAGCTACTAAAAAATTTATGAAAATATTCTAATTGAAAAAGAAGAAGTTGAGAAGGCAGTGAGATGAAAAAAACAAAATATCGACAAGTGAATGAAAGAAAAGAGAGAAATTTAGCGCAAAGTTTTAATTTTATGTACATTCTTTCTCCTTATTTTGCATTATATTATCATATTAAATCAATTACGATATTATCAGAAACGAATTATCATAAATTCAAGCGTAGGCATTTTTCAATATCATCCCCCAAAGGCTTTTCCTTTCTTCTTTAACATTGCGATGCTTAAATTGACATTCCACTTCTTAATGCTGTGCTTTTCTTTGTTGACTTCTGTTTCTATTCGATCATTTCAAGTACCGAGAAAGTTTGATAAACTTCGTTCAATGAATGTTCTACTTACACACTATGAGCTTGAAGCTTCATCACAATACTTTTCACCTAATGTCTCCACTTCGTTTAACACATTCTCTCGCTCCTTATGTTTTGCCTTAGATAAAGATGGAGATGAAAGAAAAAGTACCGCAGCAACTCTCCGTAACCAGTTTACAAATGAAGCCAAATTTGAATTTCAAATTTCTTTTTATTTTCCTCTCAAACATTGTGTTAAAAAAAAGAAAAATAACATAAAGTGCATTGAAAGAATTGCAAACGTCACGAACGTTTGTGCTGTAAGTATTCCCCGTGGAAATCAGTGAACTTCATTTTTACCGTCGACAAAAACCGATGCAAATCGAATGAACTTTTCTTCATTCTTTTGTATTTTTTTCTTATTCTCTCCCACCATTTTTTCCCATTCACACCAAACCAACGTCATTGCCAATAGATTTTTGAGCGCAATGATTTATCACCACTTTGGTTTTACTTTATATTTTCACAGTTTTATTTTTCGTTGTGAATTTTTGTTTTTACCTTATTTTGGTTGAATTTTTCTTATTTTTTACATATTTAAAAGAGAAGAAATATAAATTTCTTCATATTTTAGTTTTATCATTAATTAGTGCATGTCTTAGTTCTTTTGTTTAACCATAAGAATTTGTTATGTAATGAAATGAAAAGAAAGGAAATTTTTGTGCGAAGAAATTAATTATTTTATTTTCTTCTTCTTCAACGCATAATAAAGTTCGGGAATAGAAGGCAATCCAACAGTGTTTTATCGTTTGATGCCAGGCTCGACTGCTCAAACCAACAAATACCATACATTCTACCTTCAGCAACGACAAGACAATGGCGATACTTGGGCGGACATTAAAGTCAATCATCCTTTGGATTACGAAACAATTAAGGAATACAATCTGACGATACGTGTTGAGGTATGATTAAATTTCATGAAACATTCTTGAAGTATAAATTAAGTGGTGAATGAAAATATGCCTGAGAATATTTGCACAACCTCATTGTATTTAATCTTTTTATTTACGCTCGTATTGAACATTAAAATTGTTTTCTCTCTTTTTGTTTTTTTCCGTCCATAATTGAATCATGAAAAATCGTCATGTTCAATTCGCCGTACGTCTTTTTATTTCATTTATTTATTGTTCAGTCCACTGACTCGTCCTAAGCTTCTTCCTAGGGATTTAAATAATGAAAGCTATTATCACGCTTCTCCATGAAAAATTAGAAGCTCGTTTCTGGTGTCCTCGTTTCTTTCATTCTTCTCATATTCTCAAGTGCTCGCTTCTCTTTTCAGTCAAGAAAACTTCCGTTTTCTTATCCTCCTGTCTCTTACCTTCAAAACACTATCAAGATTCCTTCCTTGTTCTTTTCATTTTTCTTCCACATTCAATTATTTAAATTACATTTTATGCAAAATAACACTATGATGATACTTAATTTCCATCAGAAGGCGACTTGAGACTTGACATGACAAAAGAAAGAAGCGTGGGTGGGTTGTGTGAATGAATAAAAAAAGGAAAATTAAAAAAAGAAACAAGAAAATTTAAATTTAATCCCTTAAAATGTCTTTGCCAGATATCCTTTGGCTAAGAACAAGAAAACAAAAATGTTCGAATAATGAAAGTGAGAAAGAAAAACAGTGGAAAGAAAGAGAAGCAGATGAAATCCCATTAAAATCTTACTCACTGCTTCTGCAAATAGCGTAAATTTCTTTCACTCTTAAGAAATAGATCCTTAAAGTCCGAAAGCTTTTGCAAAATGTTTTAAAACCTAAAGAAAAAAAGGAGCGAGAAATATTTTTATTTTTTTTTTGCTTTTCTTATTTTCTGTGATAACAAATTATACGAGAATAATCATAAGATGAGTGAGAGGGAAGGCTTTTAGCTTCAAAGTGACATCGTGTTGAAGAAAAAAGGATGAAGACGAGCGAAACTTTAGTAGAAAAAAGCAACACGGATGACCCCTGAAGTGATAAAACTATGAATGGTAGGGGCGTGAGGCTAACAGCGAAGATTATGAAGAGTATGAGAAAAGAGAGAGACGAAACTTTAATAATATCATTTCTTGCTAAAGCATTTCAAGGCATCCTTGAAACGAGGTGAAAGAAAGGAAAAAGCTCGTAAAATTATTAAACGGGAAATATTTTCTTGCGACGATTTAATAATAGTTTGTCGACGTCATCTTCATTTTCATGACACAAGAAGGAGAAGAGTCGGTAATAAGCAGATTAGGAATAAAAGGGATTAAGAAAAAAATGTTTAGCGAGTGAAAGATCTCATCGTCTGTTAGTTGTCTCATTCATCGACCATCTTCACTTTTATCTTTAAAGATCCTTTTCAAACTTCATTGAATCAGAAAATTTTTTCACCTTATCAGTTCAAGCTGAAAACGATGAAGAAAGAAAAAAGAAAAACAATTTTTTAACTGATGGATATTCACTTCCTTCGTTCACAGTTCATTTTCCACTTCGACCTTCGGATTATCTTTTTTTCTTTCGCCTTGTGGAAAATTAATTAAGTGGAAATGATTTAAATTAATAAAGCGTACGGCTGACGTTGATTTCTTAAAAGATTTTATTTATTTTTTTCTGTTCTCTTTCTTGAGATCGCTCGCTCATCACTCGCCAATTAACATTTTCATCTCGTCTTGAAAGAGAAAAATCTTTTCGAGGGTTAGAAAAATGATAAGGCGATAATGAAGAAGAAGAAGAAGAAGAAAATGAGAAAAATGGAGAAAAAAGAAAAAGTGAAAGTGAAAATTGACCTTTCTCTTTATTCTCCAACATTTCCCTTCCCCAAGCGATGTTAAATTTCTATTGAATTTATAGCAATTAATTGGTGTTGGTTTCATTGTTTAATTTACGCACATTACCTTTTATCCCCTTCCTCTACGTAATCTTTCTTGTTGCCGACCATTTTCAACGTTAATTATACAACGATGTCATTTTCTGTCCTGAGATTACCAACTTTAGTAACAAAAGAATTTATTTTTAATTAATGGCAGTAGATTATTTTCCTTTCGATCGTTCAGTGATTTTGGTGTTGATTAGCAACAACACCATTGCCTTCTAATTTATTTACAGCTTTAAGATGACGGGATGAATAAAAGAAGTGGAATGGAAAGGGAAGAGCCTCATTCGAAACAACTCTTTATTAAATTAATCAATTAAAATTGTTTATTATGACAACGGACACTTGACGATGACAGCAGCGGAAGAAACGACTTTTTTTCCTCTCGATGTCCCGAAAGATGAAAAGATAAAGATTAAAAATAATAACTCGTCGCTTGTTTGCCAGTTTAAGATTGATAAATTACTCTGGAACGAGAAAGCGGGCTTACATAACATCTTTAGTGACTCAACTAAGGAAAGAAATAAAATGAACACAATTCATCTCCTTCTCTTTTCAACAGACTTCCGCTTTAATTCATCGAAAATGAACAAGAAGAGTTTGTTATGATAAATGAAACAGATTCTTGAATATTTATTTATCTCATTCACTTTCACAACAAAAAAAAAGAGACAGAGAGAGAGAGACAGAACAGAACTGAAAAATGTTTTTCACGATGTTAAACTTGATTATCATCGTGACAATTTTTATTTTTCTGATTTCCGCCATTTTCTGGTCATTTCAATTAAAGCTACGACAGAATGGAAAACCATTTTCCATTCATTACCGCTGATAAGAGCTTTTATTTTGACATAATGGGATGAGTGAGAGAGAGAGAGAGAAAAGTTAAATTGATTTATAATTTTTCAGTTATAAAATTTATTTGTGTTATTGTTTTGTGTATAAAAATTAAACTTTATGTTGAATCCGGAAGAATTAAAATCTGATGTGTTTAAATTCGTGTTAAATCGTTCAGATTATCCCAAGAGACTGTTGATGAGCTTTCATTTGTATGAAAATTAAATGAATAAGTTTGGTTGATTCCTGATTCAAGTGGTTACTTGTTTAAATGGTATTTGAGTGAAAATGATTGTGTTGAAAGTGGGAAATAGATTTTCAATTTATAAATGTTATGTAGGGAAAACTTTCAAGGTTTACATAAAGATTTAATTTTATTCGAGAAATCAAATTGAAATTGATTGTTTCAGCTCTTCCGCTACATTCATGACAATTAAGTAAATTAAGCTTTGACTGATTGTCATAGTATTAAGTTAATTTTACGAGACTATTTACTTACTGTAATGAAATTATACGTTCAAAATCTTTTCATTACGAACCCAAATTAAATGTGAATTTTCCAACAGCAATCAATGAATTGTACAAAAACAAATATCATGGGAAATAAAAACTTCATTTCCACCCTTTTCCACTCAACACACTATTAAGTTAGTGATTATAATTAAGCGGCTTGTATTGTAATCAAAACATTCCTTTCTTGTTCAAAACAACACCTGATAATGACGATGTCGGCGACAAGAACGACCCAAACTTTATTACATTTCTTTATTATATTTTATCATGGAACGAATGACATGAAGTGCTTTTTCATCTAAAGTAAGTTCGTTATGAAGTGTGTAAAGCAAAGCTGTGATTGTTATGAATTTTACATGAATATATGAAAGTGTGAATGGAAATTTTCTATCAAAGTTTAGTTCAAAATTTTCTTTTATTTCTTCAACAGAATAATGGAGCGCAGCAATTGGCATCCGAGGCTACAGTTTACATAATGCTTGAAGATGTGAATGATGAAATTCCTTTATTCACAGAACGAGAACAAGAAACTGTGTTAGAAGGTGAACCAATTGGCACGAAAGTCACTCAAGTTAATGCTATTGACAAGGATGGAACATTCCCGAACAATCAGGTAACTTACATGAATCAACATTTCTATTTGATTGCGTATTGTACATCAAGATGATGCTTTAACTTAACCCCCGTTATCGCTTTATTATCATATAATGAATAATGGATTCACGATCCATGAACGATGCATGTGCATGAGATTGACATCCTTCTTAAATATTTTATTCGTCTCAAGCAAGCATAAAATCTTTTTACTTTTACTGCGACTTTATGTCGTTGCTGTTCTTTAATCAAAATTTATATTTCATAAAGTTAATCGTGACAGTAATAACATTAAAAATCATTAACAAGCAATTGCTAAAGTTATCAAAGTCACATTTTATATTAATAAATGTAATGAACTCGACACACCCTTCCCTTCTATCTTCACATCATTTTTCAATTACAATGTAAACTCATTAACATGAATAAATAAATAACTTAAGTACACAATAAAGGGAGTAAAGTTCCTTTAACACAAGAAACTATGCAAGGAAAAGTTTTTGTAAAAGTTTCTTTACTCATCAAGGATGAAGTCACTGACACTACCAGTGACAAAACGCTTCATAATTTCCAAGAAGTTGCCTTGTGACAGTTTCACAAGAAGATAACAATTTGAAATATAATATCTTTTCTTGACATTTGAAAACTCAGATTTATGTTCATTTTCCGTCTTTCTTGTTGCTAATTATCACAAAATGTGAAACCGACAAAATCTGGTTAAATGAATCAAGAAGTTTTTAAAATACTATTGTGAATCATGTCGGGATTTTAAGGAAGAAAAGCTTTTTCATGAATAACCGACCTTAAGACGTCACTCTCTAAGGTTGATTTTGTCGAGATATTTAAATCTTAAACTTCCTTTTGAAAAGCGTGTAGAAAAACCAAATATTTATTTAAACAAGCAGCCTAGAGTCTTTGTAATTTATACCTACATACGGAAATGCTAAATTTAATAGATTCTAAAATACGTTTTCATCCTACTCAGGTTTATTATTACGTCGTTGATTCGCCACGTAATGAAGGCAAAGATTTCTTTGAAATCAATCTTCAAAGTGGAGAAATCTTTACAAAAATTGTATTTGATCGAGAAAAACAAGGCGCATATGCTCTGGAAGTAGAGGCCAGGGATGGAGCACCATCAGCGCGCCCAAACAGCAATCAACAACCAAATTCAGGTAAGCATTCGCATTCATTTGACCTTTAACAACCATCAACTTTCGACATCTGCAAAAAGTTCTCAGACAAATTACTATAAGCCTCCAAGGGACTTAAATAAAAACACATAACAAATAACTGCAATTTATCTCGTGAAATATGCTTGCTTACACTCTTCAACATAATGATGTTTGAATAGTTAACAATCAGAAAAACAATAAATTGTTAACCATATCAAATATTTACATTGAATTTATAATATTAACATCCCTCTAACACTTAACAACTTTATTGAGTTTTCATATCAAAATTCAAGCTTTTAATCAGAACTTCATGGTTGAAAATTTCACTTGAAATTTTCATATTTGATGCTGTCAGGGTTTAGAAACAGTGGCAAAAGTTTCAGAGAAAATTTAATCTTCTAACCCCCTTGTTGTTATTATTACATAACTCAGATAGAAGTCATTGGGATAAGAAAATAAGTAAAACTTATGGAAAACATTAATGAAATCTTCGAAAAGAGTTGTGTGCTGTACACTTTTTTCATTTTCCAAAAAGAAAAAGAGAAAAAAACTTCCATTTAGACAATTAAAAATTTCTTTTCTTTTCTGTCTCGAGACGACGACAAGAGAAAGACGAAAAATAAATATTCAAATTAAAATCATGGAATTTGCTTTTAAAGAAAATTAAATTAAAATATAAAATATTTAATGGACAAAATATCTATGAAATAACTTTATTGAATGAACGAACATGAATATCTTTAATTTTCATATCCAGCAAAAATATTAAAGTTTGATCAAGATTGAAATAGTTTACTTTTTATAAGATGAGGATGAAAAGTTTTTAATCATGACAATCGCACCCATGACAACAAGAAGCGAAAGATAGAAAACTTTTGCCGTTCTCATCTGTTTGAGACAATAAACTAATTTCATTCTTCATGAGATCTTAAAAGCAGACAGATTCTTTTCCTTTTTACACGAAAAAGAAAGAAGGAAAAATCTTTTCGAGAATAATTTGCATTCACTTATCTGCAAAGAAAATTCCAAAATCCTTACAAATCTCGAGAGCCTTAATTTGCAATATCACTGATTTCGACTAACGTAAAATGCTAATGATTACATGGCTCTTTGGATCACAAAATTTTGGTGGAAATTTTCTACCTCAATGAGTTCATCGTTCTTCAACATCACTAAAATGGTTGCTGTCGTGAAATCTCTTGCGAATGAAGTATGTAAGAATTAAGAAAGAAGAAAGTTGGAAGATGAAGAAATCTTTTTAATATATTTTATTATCTTGACAATATGAAAGATGCAATAAATAAATTCCTGAATAGTTCATTTCGATTTCTCTTTTCCCTCCCCTTCGACCCAAAACGTCTTTTTATCTCTGTCAATTTTCTACTTAATTTGACCCGGTGGAATTTAAATTCGATGCTTCACACAGTTTTATTTGCAACCAAAATCAGCAAGATAGAAAAATAAAATGAATGTTTTATTTTACTCTCTTCATGTTTGTTTTCTTCATTCAAGAGCGGTTTGATTTCATTTTTTATCCTTGGAAATTTTCATTTTTTTATTCTTTATTCTGGGAAATGAAATAAAAATCAGAGAAAGTCCCCGGTTGGGAAATCAGCAAACAGTTAACATCAACATTGAAGCTGTTTACAGGATGAAGGAAAACGTGAAAAATCATTTTATGAAAAGGAGCAAAGCAAAGTTTTTTTTGTGCGAAAAGCTTCTGAATGTACTCTTATTAAATTCCCCTTTGTCGAACTCGTCATGCATCAAAAATATAAAAACAAGACGAGGCGTAAAATGTTAGATTTTGTTGTACTTGTCGTAATCATTTTCGAGAGTTTCTTTATCTTTTTTTTTTGTCTTTTGATGTTTTATTTTAAGCAAAATAAGAGCCATGTGAGTTTCACATATGTCAGAATATTTCATTCGAAAAATTTGTTCACGCTGTTCCCATTTTCTTAGATAAATAAGATTGGAAAATCTTTTAAATGATATTAAAATCACGTTTTGGCAATTTTGAGTTTATAACGGGAAGGCAGTTAATAAAAAATGATTTAAATTTGCAAGAATCTTTTGCCACTGCTGTCTGCTGCCATTGAGGTTGCTCCACTTTTTTTTCGTTCTTCTCGTCTTTGTCTTCGTCGTCCTAATCTTTTTCCATGCTCTCTAAAGTTCTCGAGGGGATTTTCACATATATCCGCATATATATACATATATATATACAACATCCATAAAATATTTAGAAAAGCACATTCAACATAAATGTTCTTTCGTGGTTAAATTGTTGTTTTATGCTCTTCGGTTGTTAATATTTTAACAGTAGCAATGGAGCTCCCACACCATTTTTTATAGGCACAAATTTCTGGTGTTTTATTCGTCATATATACATACATACGTATACAAACGAATAAATATGAAAGTTCATTTCGTAAGCAGCACAATTATTTCATTATTTCGTTATGAAAAAATCTTCAACCATCATCAAGTTGTTAATGTTATGAAGTAATTTTTGCTGTAGAAAAAAAGAGAGAGAAACAGAAAACAGAAATTTTTTGGTATTCGAGTAATAACAGAAACCAAATATGTATGATGATAACATAAAAAAAACTGCTCTCAACATTTCCACATGAACTTCATCGCTCAAAGCTTTATTTTTGTTAACGCTTAACGGGCTTCAACAATGTCGGCATTGTGTCACGTCGTTACAATATTACAGATATCTAGATGAAGGAAAATATAACATGATGTTGAAGGCTTTCATGAACATATCTTCCCGACGAAGTAACCATGATTTCTCTTAAGTTGCGTAATGTAATCTACGTCAGACAATCGATTTTCCAATAAAATAGACGACGAAGACCACCGGCGGTCCCAACATTCATTTGTCTCACATTTAGGTCTTAAGAACAATTTTCCTAATGTCACAATGTCACAATGTGTTTGTTGTTATATAATTTATAGTCAGTAAACGATGAAAGGACGATAGTTGGTGACATCGACAATGGTGAAACATTTACCTTTTGCTCTGATGATGCTTGAAAAGCACAATTGAGTGGAAGTTATCTGACCTTAATATCTTGATAGTTATTACTGTTCAATTAAGCATTTATCAATACGTATTAAATTTTATCACGCTTAATTCTTTTACATTTCCGAAGTCATCAATGTCTTTAAAGTCTTTAAAGAATTTCTAGCAGATGATTGAAAATTGCTTTCAACCAACATCGTCATTGCTTGTAACTTAATCTAATTTTAATCTTCTTCTTCATCTTTTCTCCTTTCTTTAGGTGAGTTGTAATGAAAATGAGCTTTTTCACTCCGTTTTATCGTACAGCAAACAACTGTTGGGGGGACAATTAATACTGAAGCTGTAATTAATGTAAGTCATTTCTCACATTTTTCGCAATTTACGGAAAATCAGAGCAAAAGAGAAAAAAGGCTTTTGAGTAACGACAACTTTAATTACAACATTGGTATGTTTTTGTGATAACGATACGGAAGCACTCAACAAGGATGAAAGGCGTAAAATATAAGTTTCCTCTGGTTTTAGCTTTTATTAGATGCTCTCTTGAATTATTAATTAGCAACGATTCCTATTCTATTATGAATAACCGTGAAATGTTAAACTAATATCACAGCATGAATGGAAATGTTCACCAACTGCTTTTTGTTCTCACGGATATTTGTTGCAAATAAAAAAAGAGAAATAGAAACGATGCGGTGACTTGATATCCGATGCAAATATTTGAGGTTTCTGATATAGACACCCATGGGTGGTGGGATGAGTGTCGTTTCAATTATTATTATGACAAACAAGCCACGACACAATCACAAATTCAGTTTATGAAAATAAACGACAAATCATTCAGATGAAAATTGAAATGAATGAAATTTTTAATAACTAGATGGGTGATTCATATTGGGTTTATTGGTGATTTGTAATGAGAAAATCGAGTGGTTCAATTTTAATGAAATTGAAAAGAATTCACGAAAATTCATTGCATGTTTTCAATAACGCAATTTGAATATTGAACATAAAATTTCCATCTCCCACGCGGCAATCTTTCTCTCTTTTTTAATGTTTTAATTTCTCGTTTCGTAAGCACAGTGCCATTGACAATTTAATGAAAATTTAATATGAACGAAATTTTATTATTAAAGTTTTTTTTACTAAAAAATCTCCGCAGATTTGGAAAGAAGCTTTTGGAAAAGCTCAGACTGGAATAGTAGAAAACCTTCCAATTTTCCAATGGAAAACTTTTTGAGATTCTTAACTTTCCTTAATTCCATTATGGAAAATTTCATTCCCACGTAAAATCTTTCGTTCCACTTGAAATCTTCCAACATGAAAGTGGGGATAGGAACAGATTTATGTGAGGGACAATCGTCTGGAAAGCAGTTTATAAATATTTATCAAACACTTTTATCTTTGCCCAGAACAAAGTAGTTCTATCTGAATCAAAATAACATTAAGTAGCCATAAGCACAATATCCCCTTAACCGACAACTTGCCAAAAAATGGATGAGTGCGAACAAGACAAGAAGATAAAGTGAATAGTCCATAATGGTTAATGATTTGTAAATTCCCATGGCGAGGTACGAATGACCAGAAAAAGGAAAAATTATTGGTTTGTTTACAGACAACATTTCGTTACTTCTGTTTTTTTTTTTTCTTTTCTTCCTTCTCAATAAATTATAAGCAATACTTCATCCTCCATGCTGTGTCAGTTGTCATAGTGAAAGCATAAAGAAATTATCAACAAAAAAATTTGTTTTTCTGTCACCGTAAACGAATTCTGATGATGACATTAGGAGACAAAAACTTTCCATCTTATTTCTTCGAGATTCTCAAGCAACAAATTCAATGAAACTCAATCGAGTTAAAGTTTCTTTTAATTTGAATAAAAGCCTTTTGTGTGTATGATGAAGAAATTGCTTCAATCTTGTATCATATCATCCTTAGATTGGCTTCTACATTGAAGCTGTAACAAGAATAACATTTGATGAAAGAATTTGCTTATTTTGCTGAAATTGTTAATCGAAAATGCTACGCAAAGCAAAACTATGATTGAATTATAAATAACGTGAATTTTCCATTATCTATATTTGAATATAAAATGATTTATTTTTACATTATCATAAATATCTCGAAGCTTAAATATTCTGAAATTAAATAAAATATTTCAAC